AGGGTTAAGTGGATTGGCTATGGTTAATATAGAGCTGTAGGAATGGGACAGGTCTGGGTGGGATGCTCTTTGGAAGATCAGTGTGGACTTAGTGGCCTGCTTCCACACTGTAGGGATTCTATGAATGCAAAAAATCACTTGCCATGTCCTTTAAGACCCTACGCTATGGTCACCAGGTAGGGACTTGTCATCTGTTAGTCCTATTAGCTTTTTGTGTACTTCTTTTCTCTAGTGATGGTGACAGTTTTTCCTTCCCTTTTACTCCCTGTGTTTCTATCCTAGGAATAATTTTTTATGTCTTCCATTGTAAAAGCAGATAATAAATGTTCAAAATCTTTGTCATATGTTTGCTTACCATTCACAATTCCCCAGTCTTACCCTCTAGGGAACCAATACATACTTTTTCTGTTCTTTTCCTATTTATATACTTGGAGTAGTATTTATTGTCTGTTTCCACATTTCTTGTTAGTTTTCCCTCGTACTCAAATTTTTCCCTTTTCGTTACATTTTTAGTCATCCTTTGCTGTTTTCTAGAATTTTTCGAACCTCCTGGCCTTACACTGATCATTGCTGCATTGAACATATTTTCTTTCAATTCAGTATGATCCTCAACTTCCTGAATAACCTATAGATGGTACATCTTTCTCGTAAAGTCTTTCTTTTGCAACGGAATACAACTTCATTGAGAGTTATGAAATATCTCCTTAAATGTTTGCTACTGCTTCTCTCTCATTCTAACTTTTAATGTGTTTTCCCATTCCAGTTTAGGTTAGAACATAGAACATAGAACAGTACAGCGTAGGCCTTTCGGCCCACGATATTGTGCCGACCTATTATCCTACTAAGATCAATAAAGTTACTTTGCTTTCCAACCTTTAATGCATTTATTTCAGTGTGAGACAATAGTTTTAGTCCGACAGTTCTCACCCTCAAACTAATTATAGATTACACTTGTTACCAGTGTCTTAAATATATGTGTTCTGAAGAAGTGTCACTGGACTCGAAACATTAACTCTGCTTTCTCTGCACAGATGCTGCCAGACCTTCTGAGTTTCTGTAGCAATTTCTATTTTTATCCTAAATATATATTTGTTGCATACCTGTCTGTGATACAGAAGTAAATAGCTTTGTTAATTTTTCAATGCAACTCTTGACTTCCATTTTGTAACTTAAAACTGGGTGACTGTTCTTTAATTATCTGGTTGGATCCTTGTGTAACCTAATTGCTTTCAGTTCCCAGGCTGGCATTTAAATAGGTATCAGCACACTCTGCAGAAACACACAGGCCATTCATTTATTCTACAAACTTGGGCCTATGAGACACTAAGGGTTCTAACATAGTTCTTAAAAAGATGTCCCACCCCTTAAGGCCATATTGCATTACAACAGTGACTACATTTCAAATGTATTTAAAGGCTGTAAGTCACTTTATGAGGTTCTGAAAGTTGATATATAAATGCAAGTTCTTCCATTCTCTGTAAAGTCGACTTTCCTAATTTCTTTTTACTCTCTTAAACTTTATTACTTAATGTAAGATGATTTGGAATGTTGCAGAGTATGCTTCATACAAACAAGCAACAAGTGTAGGCCACTCAGCCCTTCAAGCCTGCTCTACCATTCAACAAGATGACGGCTGACCTATTTTAACCTCAAATCTACATTCCTGCATACCCCCAATAATCTTGCACCCCCTTGCTAACTGTGTCTATTATTTCTCCTAATCAACCAGTTGAGGGTATTTTTCTGTCTCTAAGTGAATTCTTTTGGCAAGTTTTGAGTAAAACAGCTTGTTTCTTGGCTCCAGTTTTTCCTTGCTTTTCCAATTATGAGGAAGGGGAATAATAGAATGTAAGAACAGCGATCTGGAGCAGACTATTCAGCCCCTTGAACTTGTTCTACCATTTATAACTATCACGGCTGATCTCATCATAGCCTCAACTCTGCTTTCCTGTCTGCTCCCCATAACCCTTTAATCCATCACTAATTAAACATCTGTCTACTTCCTATTTAAATTGACTCAATGATGTCAATAGGCAATAGATAAGTGAGTGTGAGTGCTCTACAACTGTCATTTCTTCTTAGTATTTTGAAAAATATGACATTTATGGCTATTTGTAGAATGGATTGCCACTAATGTCAGATAATAAAACTAGGTGACAGCTGACTGTATCTCTTAAGTTACCTATATCCTGTAACAGAGATCTTAAATCAAGGGTTTTAGGGAGATTGATTTCATAACAGGTGCAATGTGTAAGGCTCTGAGCCTGCTTCCTGGCTAAGAATACTCTGGATTTTTAAAATTCTCTTGCAGGATGTGGGTGTCACTGGCTGGGCCCAGCATTTATCGCCTGGCCCTAGTTGCCCTTGAGAAGGTGGGGGTGATCTGCCTTCTTGAATCGCTGCAGTCCATGTGCTGTAGGTAGACACATAATGCCATTAGGGAGGGAATTCCAGGATTTTGACCCAGCGACACTGAAGGAATGGTGATATATTTCAGGATGATGAGTGACTTGAAGGGGAACTTGCAGTGGCAGTGTTCCAACCACAAATTAATTCAGTTTGAGGGCTATTCAATTTACAAGGGTTAGTTTATTTTTGGTGTTGTTTTGGGAATGTTGTTGAGTCAAATAGATCCATATTTGTTCTGATACATGTCAAATAAAATGTCACAAAATCCCTGCAGTTTGGAGGCAGGCCATTCAGCCCATTGAGTCCACACTGACTGTCCAAAGAACATCCCACCCACACCCCTAATGTATCCCTATAAACCTACATTCCCCATGGCTAATCCACCTATTCTCCACATCCCTGGACACTATGGACAGTTTAACATGGCCAGTCCACCTAACCTGCACATCTTTGGAATGAAAACAAAGTTGCTGGAAAAGCTCAGCATGTCTGGCAGCACATGTGAAGGAAAAAACAGGGTTAACATTTTGGGTCTGGTAACCCTTCCTTAGAAGTTTGGCCTGTGGGAGGGAACAGGAGCACCCAGATGAAACCCACATAGACATGGGGAAAACACGCAAATTCCACACAGACAGTCAGCTGAGGCTGGAATCGAACCCAGGTTCCTTGCGAGGTAGCAGTGCTAACCACTGAACAACCACCACTCCCATGTCAAGTTGCTTCCACTCTGTCTCCATAAGGCCCTTCCATTCTGAGTCTTTGAAAACAGAATGTATTGTTTTCCCCTCCCCTCTTGCTCCCAATTGACTCATGTCTGTAATACAAGGCTTTGATTCAGTAACACCAGATTTTGTACAAAAATGACGACATTTTATGATATCTGAAACAAAATTATTAATAAAAGCAATTAAGACTAAAAGAGATAGTACGAACTGCCGATGCTGGAGTCAGTGATAACACAGTTTGGAGCTGGAGGAGCACAGCGGGCCAGGCAGCATCAGAGGATCAGGAAAGTTGAAGAAGGGTCCCAACCTGAAACGTCAGCTTTCCTGCTCCTCTGATGCTGCCTGGCCTCCTGTGTTCCACCAGCTCTACACTGTGTTATTTCTTATAATTAAGATTAAAATGTTGCTTGACATATATTCAAGATCAGCCATGTAAAGATTCTATTCTAATATTCTAAAGATCTGTCAAACATTTGTGTATCAAAATGGGGTGGAGTTAGCAGACAGCAATTTGGCATCAGAAGAATTTACAAACATCACACACTGAATTTCCAGATCCTGTTGATGGTTGGAATGGAGATGAATGGCTCCCAGATATCATTCTCCACCTTTACAGAAGCAGCAAGGAGTCAGTAAGGCTCTTTAATGGTCTAATGGGGACCAGTTGAAAGGGATTTTCCAGATTTCTGCACTGGCCAGTTTAACAACCTTGAGATTGACATCCAGCATCTATCTGGGGCACTAGCATTCCAGGAAATCCCTCAAGGGCCTGTTTGACCACCTGAATATTAGCACAACAAAGACATGCCCATTCTACCTCTTCACAACAACACAGGTGACTGCTGTGTTTAAAAAAAATGGCTGGTGAGATGCCAGCTCCATGTTGAAATATCCTGTCTGTGCTTACTATCGATTACTCTGCCTTAAACAATAAAGAAATTACCGGAGAAACTCAGCAGGTCTGGCAGCATCTATAGAGAGAAAGCAGAGTTCTGAAGAAGGGTCATTGGACCTGGAACATTAACACTGTTTCTCTATCCACAGAGAGTTTCCCCAGCAATTTCTGTCTTTTGTTTCAGATTTCCAGCATTCATAGTTCTTTCTTTCATTTATATAACAGTGTCTTCCTCCTGTTGGGGTGGTATGCTTCGAATAGTCACTGGAAGTGACCTATCTGTTGTCCTTAACTGAACAAGGAACCTGAATCTGTGTCAATTAAGAACCTCCATGAAAATCTCTGGTCAGTGACTGACTCCTCTGGAGTAAGTCCAGGAGCCAGCAAAAATTCCAACTCCTGATTCCTGCCCAAAGAGTGAAGCCAGGCCCCAAGTTCATGTTGGATCCCTGCATTAATTTATCATTTAACATTGACCATTGAGGGAATTTGCGATGTATTTATTGAACAGAGTGTTGCCACTTGATTATGCACTAGCAGGTTCAGGAACAGCTTCTTTCCAGCCATTACCAGACTTCTGAATGGCCTCTAGCCTCAAATAATGCAATGTAAGTTGTATGCCTCTAAGTCTTTTAGATCTGTACATCCTTTGCTTGCTGTGATCTACCTGTACTGCTCATAAACAAAGCTTTTCACTGTATTTTGGTAAACGTGACAATCAATCAATCAGTCAATTAATCAATCCTAGACACAGGGCTAGTGGTGAGTTGTATCCCAGAGGGAGCCCAGACATTTAGGAGAGACAGGAAAATGAACTTCCAATGAACTTATTTTTGACAGGGTATCGCTGGTGCTGAGTGGTTGTTCATCAGCTGGAACTTAACAAATGCTTGTTATTTGCTCGAATTTCTCTCTGAGTAAGATTGATTGCTTTGATAGAAGCTGAAATACTCTGCTTTTTTTCTTAACAGCTGTTTGTGTCCTTGGCAACAAGCTTTACTATAATGGGCAGAGGGTGACAGAATGGAAAGCACCAGGAGAGTGCCGTCTCTTGGAATGTAAGGTAGGAATTGATTAAATATCACACAAATCAACTTAATTTTAAATGTAAACTTCAGTACATAAATGCAAGAATATGCTGTGTTTTCCAATTTGCAAATTATTATTTATTTAGTTTGTTTTTAGAATATGGGTGACATGGTTCTATTGCTGGGATAATTTGATGTGGGCTTTGCCCATGAACAATCTACCAACAGTTCCAGAGTTTTGATGATGAAGGATCAGTTAGAATAGAATCATTCCCAGCAATAAGAAAAATACTAAGAGACAGACTTGCCATCCATGGTTAACAAAAACAAATGTCAAAGATAGTATTGCATTCAACGATAAGACATATAGATCTGCAAAGATAGGTGGCAGGTCCAAAGATCGGCTAGAATATAAAAAAAAGCAAAGAATTACTGAAAGATTAAGAGAGAAATAATAGAATACGCAAGAAAGTTAGCCAAAAATATTAAAACAGATTAGCAAAGTTTCTTCAGATATTTTAAAAAGAAAAGAGTTAAAAATGTAAGTGTTGGTCCTATGGAATATGTGTCTGGTGATTTCAAATTGAAGGCTAAAAATCTGTGAGCTGTAATCTTGCATCTTTTGCCCGCTTTACTACTGGATTCTATTCAAAATTGAGACTTTTTCTCCTGGTTTATTGTTGCTAATTTTTGCCTAGTTAAATATCGAGAAAAATGGGGAAGGCAATGTAGCTGATGGAGCTTATGTTCACATGCGTCATTTTAACAATCCTGAACAACGGTAAAACAAATTATCAGTGTAAATGAGGAATATGCTCAGCAACTTCAATGCTTTTAGTCTCAGTTAGACAAATATAAAAAAAAATGTTCAGTGTTTACTTTCTGGCAGATGTGTAACTTACACATATGTAGATGTTCAGTCATTGCTAATAACCAACTGTTTTCTAAGTATTTCAAAATGTAATTTATTCTTAACTCTAGTTACTAATTTTTCAATCATAATGATCTGTTTATAAAAAGGTTTCTGCCCTTCAGCTCTGGTTGTCTTCATGCATGTACAAAGTTGGACTGCAAATCACATTGGAATTGAAATCAAATTGTGTCAAATTCAAACCTCTCCCACTCAGCCATTGGCCAGGAAGTTCAAAAGGACCAGATTGGATAATAGATTTTCCCTGCTTCTGAAAATTCCAGCTGTCCCACAAGAGATGTGCCAACATTTCAGATAAACTGGGCTGCTCCAACCAAAACAAAAGAGACAGGTGGCATGTGCTAGTTACTGGCATAAGATTTCCACTCCTAGGAATCTGGAACACAATGGTTCATTTCTACAGTTATGAAGTATTCAGGCCCATTTATACAATTGTGCTACAGGATTGGCTGCCTGAAGAAGATTGCCTGAAGGAAAAGCTTGCTATTTAGAAAGGACTGAGCTTTCTGTCTGAAAGCTGTGAAAATTATGACACGTTCCATTTTCTAATTCAAAATGTACTTCTAATAAGTACCATCTCAGAGAACTGTGCAGCTTTCCAAAATCTTTAAATATTTTTAAGGCAGAGCTGGATAGATTGTTGCTGACCAAGGGAATGAAAGATTACTGGGGGATATGAAGGAATGGAGAGTTGAGGTTAAAATCAGAGCAGTCTGATCTTATTTGAATGGTGTAGCAGGCCGAATGGCCCACTCTTGTTCCTTGTTCATTTGTATGTATACTCTCAGCACCTTGTGAGTGCATAGTTTGTGCAGCAATACTAAGTGAATAAAATTTTGGAAGTATCCTAGCACAACTTTAGCTTAGTTTGGGATCTTTCCTTCGTCTAAGACATAAAACACAATAGTGTGTGATAACACAAAAATATGACATCCTGATATCCACTCCCAGGTCAGACACACACAGTGTTGGGTGAACTCTCAGCCGTGCAATCCCAACCTTTAAAAATATGGCCACCCATTTGGCTTCCAGTTTTTGGTCTGCTGGGATCGGGTTAGGCTGGGCGATCCTGGTAGGACCATGAAGCTTGCCAGGTTTGGAGGCAGGCTATCTGGCAGGCCTACCTCAGAGATCCAACTCAAAGTCCAACCTGTAAAAACAAAGAGTAGATGATGAATACTGCCTCCCCAACTCTCTCACCAATCACCCATCCACATGGACCCGTGCTAGCCCATGTACTCTCCCTGTCTCGCTGCCAGCTATAACCACACGTCAAACTATGTCCCTCTACCCAACCTCATGACCCTGTGTAGGCCCCTTGCGAATTTAGTGTCAATTCATTCCAATGCATTTCTCTGCTCACCAAACTTTTCCCTTGTACCTACGATATCAACTCACTCAGTATCCACCATGGGCTACCTCAGGGCTCAGGTCTAATCTGCTCAATTGGGGTTTCAAAGTAAAGGGATACCAAAATCAGACTTGAGTGAAGGCAAGTAATGGACAAGTGACTCTACCTATCATACATGGGCTGTAGTGGTTCATGAAGACAGCTCCCCACCACCTTCTCAAGGACAACTAGGGATGGGCAATAAATGCTGACCCAGTCAGTGATGCCCACATCCCATGGGTGAGTAAAAAATTTTGCCCCAATCCCACCAAAGCAAAACTGGGAAATGCCTCTTTGGGTAGGTGGGATTTTGGATTTCCAATCATTTCCACATTGTTTTTCCACTTCAGAAAAACTTTCTGATATGGACAAAATCTGTGCTAACAAATCTCATCCCACGCTGAATGTTTAGAGAGTATCACCCAACCTTTCAGACAACATGTCATCAAATTTCTTTGCATACTTGAAAAATTGGACAATACTGTCTTAATTTTCATCCTTTTTTTCCAGATTGGACTGGCAGTACCTGTGTGTGTTACAGCTAGATATTAATTCCCTTTTAGAGTCCTCTCTTTCATTTATACTTTTGTTTCAACTAAATTTACTTTGATTTATTTAATGTTTAAACTAAAATCTTGTACTGTTCTTGATTAGCAGGTGAAACTATCACTATTTATAATGCTTTGTTGTTTAACCCCAAGAATCTGAGGTGTGGTGGAAGGATGGTATATTTTCAATTTGACATACAGATGGTAAAAATGACCTTGAAGACCAATTATCAATATAGAAACCATTTAAATTATAGAAATGAAAGTTGATGTTTTCTACGAGGGACAACTGGTTGACATAAAGTCAGGAAAGTGAGAGAAATTTACAACATGGAGAGATGCCTCTTGTATGCCAAAGGACAACTAGGGATGGGCAACAAATACAACTTAGATCTCAAGAGTGGAATAAAAAATGTTTAAACTTACCCTTAGGTCTCAATCCTGTCCAAGTCTAATGAATAAAAGACAACTAGGTGCAGAGCTGGATGAACACAACAGGCCAAGCAGCATCATAGGAGCAGTAAGGCTGACGTTTTGGGCCTAGACCCTTGCTCCTATGATGCTGCTTGGCCTGCTGTGTTCATCCAGCTCTGCACCTTGTTGTCTCAGATTTTCCAGCAACTGCAGTTCCTACTATCTCTAATGAATAAAAGTTTACTTTAGAACTATTTGGAAGATGTCTGGCAAAATAAACTGGGGTAACTTCAAATGGCTTCCATTGGGAATGGAACAACAAGGCAGACAACTTGATGCTTACCAGCCAATTTGTCCAAGGTTGTGGAAATGATTTGGAAACATTTCCAGTTCTAGAGTACTGACTTATTTCCCCTGCTCGATTTGCAGATATAAAGAGTAAAAGTTAAATGATGATAAGAGTTGACAAAAAATTACCATAGCCTTCCTGAAGATGAACACCTCTGAGCATTAAAATGTACAATTGCAAACAGTTGACATATAATCTTTGAAGGCACAAAAATTAAGTGGTCATTTTGTAATAAAATAATGCAATGATTCTGTTCAATGCAATAAGAAGTCTGTTTTAGGAAGTAATGATTTTTTTCCTAAACAATTAGAGCTCTGAAGTGACAAAGTGGTGATTCTTTAATGAGTTGACTTAACATCTTCTGCACCACTTGACAGGGCAAATCAATGCAACGTGTTCAATATTCGAGCTGTCCTTCGCTGCCTTGCTCACGATCAAATCAAATCTCCCTGACAAACAGCTGCTGTAAGGTTTGCAGAGGTAAACAGTTTAAGGATCTTTATCGAAGTTTAAATCTAACTCAGGATCATTGCAGCACGGGTGACATCCACATTGTTCCACTTTATGAATTGGTTAATCAAACCTTTCCAGTCAACCATTTCACACAAACTCCAGATGTAGTGAATATGAACAACTGCTTTGCGTAAAATGGTCTTTTTTTATTGAGGCAACGCAATGTAATTCTTAAACAAAAACAAAAACAGAAATTGCTGGAAAAGCTCAGCAGGTCTGGCAGCATCTGTGGAGAGAAATCAGAGTTAATGTTTCGGGTTCAGTCGCCCTTCACCCTGACCTGTTACTGTGTGGTACAATGTTTCTGAGAATTAATGATCTCTGTTCCTTGCGCAAGATAAAATCTAAATTCAAAGTCATGCATGCATCATGCCACGTCTAACCCTAACCCTGACTCTAACCTTTTGTGCGATATGGAGCGGAAGGTCACAGCTCTCCACTGGTGAGTTTTCTTTCTCATCCAAGTCAGTATAATGTTCTACAATTGCATTAAGTTCATTGGGGAACTCCATGGCAAGAAAAAGAATTGCTTTTGGCTAATGATGGACAGGCGCAAATCATCCACTATTTTGTGGAGGATTGGAACTCACGCTATGTCTATTTTACTGCATATGGATATGGATAGCTGGATATGTATTTTATGGATTTATAACAGGGAGTGATGTTAATGCATTATTCTAGTGGTGTGAGTGCCCATTAAATTTCCAGATCCATTAATCCTGACTAGAGGCTTTTGATGATATCAGTGAGGGGTGCTGGATGGAAAAATATTTCTCCAGTAAACCACTCTTCTCCGAAAAGGCTCTCTTACAGACAAACTGCAGCCTCTCCTCATGTACTACACTGTTCACAGTGACAAGTGGAACACCAAAGGCTGTTCTATTTCCTGCTGCATTTGGCATTGCCAACTATGGACATGGTCATTCTGTAAACTGATTCCATTCAAAAGAATATCAATCTTTTGGCAATTTAAATAACTTGTGATGAGCAAATAATCCTCTAATCAGGCCAGCAAAACATTGGAGCCAACTTGAATGAAGTGATTAAGATAATAGTCATCTTTATCTCCAAAGCACTTTAATTTGATAATCGTGATTTTCAGGTTTGTCTCCTTTGGGTCATAGCATGCTATAGCATAGAACAAAGGCCCTTTGGCCCATTGCATCCATGCTTTAAAAAAACAGCCACCTTACTATTATCATAGAGTCCCTGCAGTGTGGAAGCTGGCCATTTGACCCATTGAGACCATGCTGACCCTCTGAACAGCATCCTAACCAGACCCATCCCCCCCACCCCCTCCCTGTAACCCTTCATCTCCCATCGCTAACCTGCTTATCCTACACATTCCTGGAAACTATGGGCTATTTAGTATGGCTAATTCATCTTACCTGCACATCTTTGGACTGTGGGAAGAAACCAGAGCACCCAGATGAAACCCACAGTCATGGGGAGAACATGACACTGCACTGACAGCTGCCTGAGGGTGGAATTGAACCTGGGTCCCTGGTGCCGTAAGGCAGCAGTGCAAATCACTGAGCCACTGTGCCACCCTAATTATAGTCCCATTTTCCAGCACTTGGCCCATGGACTTGGATGCTTTGACCTCACAAATACACATCTCAACATTCTTTCACACGTGAATTTAGCTGATGGGAACTGACGGATTTTCATGACATGGCAAATGGGTTCTTTGGCAGTGCATCCACCAAGCAGAATCATAGACATAAATGCTACATTAAATAAAGCTGTCCATCTTTGAGTGCGGAGTTAGATCTCAGGCCTAAATAGCTCTGTGCTGTGCCAAAATGAAGGAACGTTGCCTGCAACGCCTATTAGATTACAAGGAAGACTTCATCAATAAAAAAAAATCACTCCAATTGTTCTTTCCCAATGTAGGTAATGACTTTTGTGCTGATGGCCCCAAATGCGTTGAGAATTCTGAATGTGTCAATTTGGAGGCTGGTGCTATCTGCAAATGCAAAAGTGGCTTTACGCCTCTCCGTGATGATGAAGCCTACTGTGAAGGTTAGTGTGTATGCATCTACACCGTACACAGACCCAGGGCTATGTTCATCTTTAGTAATTATACAAAAGGAACACTGGGTCAGGAGTAGGCCATTCAGCCCATCTGGCCTGCTTGCCTTCAGTTAGATCATGGCTGATCTGCATCACTACTCCAGTTATCTAGATACCCTTACCTCACAAAATTCTATAGATCTTAATTTTGAAAGCTGCCATTGGTCCTAGATTCACATATCTTTGTGACTGGGAGCTGCAAATTTGTACAATCTTAAATGCTCGTAATGGTATTTGTGTTACAGAACAAGTGTAAGTGAGATTTGTGTCCCATATAAAATATTTGTACACAGTCATATTTTTAAGCCATTACTTCAGAGTGAACGTTTGCATCTTCAGATCAATTTTAAACTACGACCACATGATAAAACCAGTGATGCAGTCCAGCTTGCCATGATGGAGGAGTTACAAAATATATTTATATTCAAATCAATGCAAATGAAAAATCAGCAAGTTTCAATAAAAGGCAGATAATCCACCCCATTATAACTTTCCCCAGTATTGTGATGCTGCAACATCCTTTTGTTGAGATGCTGGTTTCACAATAAAATGTATCATATTGAGACATTAAGAGTGAAACTACAACTGCATGAGACTTCTTTGGGAGTTCATTTGATTGTATTTAAGTTTTCATAAGTGAGTCAACTGTGTAATTCAAAATGGCCAAGTTGCAAGTGAGTAACTGTTAGCCTCATGTTGACAGTAAATCAATTTAAACAACTACCACCATATGTGCTACTTACTACATTGCCAGATTGATTTTTTTCTTGAATTGGGTATTTGAAACTGGCAGGTTGGGAATAAATAATTTAATGACGCTCTGCTCAAATGTGGAAATGTGAGTTTCATTTCTGTAGTCCAGGGAGTACATGTAGATTATACACAAACAAAATGGTAGCTTGCTTTGCTGTATTGGTGTATTGTGCTATGGAATAGCTGTTTGAATTTGCAAGAATTATATTGTTCAAAATGGTCAGTTTCTTCTTTACCAGGCCATTGGAGAAGCTGCTGAAAGGAGGAGCGGTATTGTCCAGGGATAAGGCTGTGTTAACTGGAGCAGTGTAGCCTGATCCGTACTTGAAAAGTCACAATGATTCCAGATCCAGTTCAGATTAGATTTCAAAATTCTCAAGCTTATTCCCCCTATGGTTTTGCTTCTGCCCCATCTCTGTAACATTTTCTGTGTTCTACAGCTCTCCAAGAATGCTGTCCCACCATTTGTGGTCTCTTGGGCATCCTCCACTTCCTTCAATTCACACTTAGCAGTTTTGCTTACAACATTGTCAGCCCTAAGCTCTCTGACATTTCATCCCAAACCTTCTCCACCTCCTGCTCAGAGCAGAAATAGAACATTGAGTCCATTAAGTCTGTTCTGCCATTCAATGAGATCATAACTGATCTGATCATCCTCATCTCCATTTTCCTGCCTTTTCCCCATAAACCTTGATTCTCTTACTGATTAAAAATCTATCTCAACCTTGAATATACTTAATCACCCAACCTCTACAGTCCTCTGCTGCAAAGAATTTCACAAATTCAGTACACTCTGAGAGAAGAAATTCCTAATTATCTCTGTCTTAAATGGGCAACCGCTTATTCTAAGATTTGCCTTTTGGTCCTCGACTCTCTCACAAGGGGAAACAACCTTTCTGCATTTACCCTGTCAAGTCCCTAAGAATCTTACATATTTCAATATGATTGTCTCTCATTCTTTGAAACTTCAATGAGTAGAAGCTCAAAGAAAATCCCTCCATACGTAGTATCAGCCCTGAACTTTCTCTGGGCTGCCAGCAATGTCAGTATGTCTTTCATTAGAGAAGGGGCTCAAAACTTTTCTCAGTAATCTAGCTGTGGTGTGACTTGTGCCCTATGTAGTTTTGGCAAAACCTCCCTCCTTTTATATTCCATTCCCTTTGAAATAAAGGCCAACATCCATTTGCTTTCCCTACAGCCTGGTGAACTTAGATGCTAGCTTTTTATAAAGTATGCGCAAGGACTTCCAAATCCATCTGTGCTTTCTGCAGTCTTTCTCCGTTGAAATAATGTCCAGCTCCCCTATTGTTCTGGTTAAAGTGCATAACTTCACATTTTCCTACATTATATTCCCATCTACCAAGTTTTTGCCCAGTCACTCAACTGGTCTGTATCCCTCTGTAGACTCTTTATCCTTACTGCTTGCCTTCCTACTTATTTTTGTGTCATCCGCAAACTCGGTGACAGTACATTCATTTTTGACATCTAAGTCATTAATAAATATTGTAAATAATTGTGGCCCAGCACTGATCACTGTGGCACACCACTAGTTACAGGTTACATCCTGAAATTGCTCTCCTTGCTCCAACTCTTTGTTTTCTATTAGCTAGCCAATCATCTCTTCATACCAATAAGCAACCTCCTACACTGTGGTCACTTACCTTCAGCAGTATAATGTATGGTACCTGATCAAACACCTTCTGAAAATCCAAATATACTACATCCACTGCTTCCAGTTTATCTATCATGCTCATTACCTCCTTACAGAGTTCTACTAACTTTTTTTAGGCATGATTTTCTGTTTGTGGAGCTACACTCTTTCTGATCATATTATGTATTACTAAATGCTTTGCTATTGCACCCTTTATACACGACACTAACATATTCCCAATAACAGATGTTAAGCTAACTGGTCTGTAGTCACATTTTATCATCTCCTTCCCTTTTTAAACAAAGGTGTTACATTTACATATTTCCAATCTTTTGGGATTTGAAGATTAATGTATCTACTCTCACTTTTTTTAATATTCCAGGATGCATCCCAATCACCTGTTTCCCTAGCACTTTATCTTTCATGATAGTTATTATATTTGTTTCCTTTTCTCCTTTGTCTCCGTCATTATTTTCACAATGCTGTTAGTGTTTTCTATTGTAAAGACTGATACAAAGTATTTATTCAACTCCTCTGCCATTTCCTGGTTCCCCTTTACCAATTCACCAGCCTCTTTCTCCAAGGGACCTATTTTAACCTCTTTCTTGTTCTTTAGAAGCTCTTGCAGTCCACGTTGATATTACTTGCTAGTTTACTATCAAAGTTCATCCTCTCCCTCTTTAATTTTTTTGGTAGCCTTGTGTTGGTTTTTAAGACTCTCCCAATGATCTGACTTTCCATCTTTGCTACATTGTATGTTTTCTCATTTCATATGATGTTATCCTTAACTTCATTGGTTGGCTTATCTACTTCCTGGAATATATTCTGGGATATATCTTTTCAATGAATCACGAGCTAATATAAAACACTACTCAGAACCGTTCCCTTTGATTAAGAACCAGGAGATCCACTTAATGGGTCTAGGCCTGAAACGTCAGCCTCTCTGCTCCTATGATGCTACTTGGCCTGCTGTGTTCATCCAGCCCTGCACCTTGTTGTCTCGGATCCACTTAATATGCCTACTTTGGCTCAGTGTTCATTACTGACTGATTATGTTCTTTTAAAGCAACTTGGAACACTTTTATTATGAAAACGGAAGGGCACTACATAAATTCAAGGTGATGTTGCTGTAGGGTTTGGAGAATAAGGAATAGCATATATTTGAGTGTTTGCAAAGGTTTTTGTATGGTGCAAATTACCTGTGTATCAGGTTCATTTTTTCTATAATTTCCCATTCACAACAGGTAAGGAACAGGACTAGACAGGATAGATGCAGGAAGGATTTTCCCAATGACTAGGGAGTTGAGAACCAGGGGTCATGGTCTAAGGATACAGGGTAGACCATTTAAGATTGAGATGAAGAGAAATATCTTCACCCAGAGAGTGGTGAGCCTGTGGAATTCTCTGCCATGGAAAGTGGTTGAGGCTGAAATATTGAAAGTTTTCGAGAAGAAGTTAGATATAATTCTTCGGGCTAAAGGGATCAATGGATATGGGGAGAAAGTGGGAACAGGGGACTGAGTTGGATGTTCAGCCATGATCATATTGAATGGTGGAACAAACTTAAAGGCCGAACGGCCTACTCCTGTTTTTAGTTTCCATGTTTCTACGCTTCTAGGAGGAGTTGGTCATATTGCACTGTCATGAAGTACAGTCACAAGTTGAGAATTTACATCAGCAACACTCTGCTATTCCATCTCTACATTCCTTCATACAACGATGGCCAAAGGGTAATGCATCAATTACATTGATGGGTGCCACAAGGGCTGAAATTGCAAACTCGACAAGGACCATTTGTCCATGGATAAGTTGGGCTTTGGATGGTGGTGACCCAAACAATGTACAGCAATAAAATGGTGTGAAAAAGAAGGTTAACATTAAGCATTTCTCACAAGCTGCAGTGAAGTAGCACACTTATTTCACAGAGGAAGCAAGACACAAAAGGCTTTCAAACAGAGTTGGTTGTGATAGTCAATTATATGAGCGAAGAATACTTGGAATTCAGTTATGAACAAGACATCTTATTAGATGTGTGGAGGCGTAACTCCTAAGGGAATTTGATACTATTCTTTAAATTTCATTGTGGAATTTCGAACACAGGCCACTAATATTATTAGCTCACACATGGGAAGGAATATTGGATTTACGGAGAAGTGGAGTAATCCCACGAGGCTTTAAATGACTGGCAGAGTCTGAATAAAAGCCAGTACAAAAGGTCGTTTGGAAAGGTACAGTAATCTACTTTTCACAGTGAGCAAAAAATACATGAGGCTCAACTATCTGTAGTGAGCATTACAAAGCTGCAGTGATTGGGAAGCCTGCCAGTGTACAAGTAGATGCTGTCCTCTTCAGGTAAAACTGTCACTGATATTAACATTTGACACCAAATCATCCAGACATCTCTATATATGTGTAAGTGTTTATGTCTGTGTGTTTGTATTTCTGTGTGTGTGCTTATGTGTGCATGTGTCTGTGTATTTGTATTTCTGTTTGTGTGTGTGTATGTGTGTTTGTGTTTGTGTTTCTATGCGTGTTTGTGTGTCTG